GTGGGCGCCGCGGCGGGCGCTCGCGCCATCAGGCTCGGCGCGGAGCCGCCGCGGCTGCCGTGGACGGCGGCGGCGGGCTGCGCGACCGCGGGTGTGGAAGTGGCCCAGCTGGCCGCCTTCCGCCGCGGGGGATCCGCCCGACCAGGCTCCTGGCTAGCAGGTCGTCTGCAGTCCGCGCCCTCGCCTGCTGGCCGCCAGGCGCGTGGGCCTCGGTCTTGGCGCTATTGGTGCATCGCTGGGTGGGCTCGAGCGAGAATGAAAACTTCTGATAGTCGGCGGGGTCGGCCCCCGCTGCGTCCGAGGCCACAACGGAGCAGGAGAGCCATCGCTGCTAACACCAGGGGTGCCAAGAAAGTCAGCCGCTGCACACGCTATCACGGCCCGCTCGTGTCGACCTCCTACTCGGTAGCGTACTGCTTTGCCCCCGCGGGACCTGCTGCCGCCGAAAGCGTGTTCTGCGAAACTTGAGCGGGCCTGGCCGCTTCCCGTCCGCGGCGAAGAGCTAGTCGATGATGCCCGCCAGCTCCTGCCCAAGCGCACCACGCAAGGCTTTGAGCGTGGTTGCGGCGGCTTGAGCGCACTGCAGGTCCGACTGCGCCCCACGCGTGGCCATGACCCGCTCCCTGGCTGCCTGCAGCTCGCGCCTCTCCTGCTCCGGCGTGGCTGGAGAGAGGAGCGGATTCTCTGCCTGCCCGGCCAGCAGGTCGAGCCACAACTTCGGCGCCAAGGCGGCGAGGCCCTTCCTCTTGAGCAGGTCGTCGCACCCGCAAATCTGGACACGTCTGCTGCTGCACGGCCTCCCTGAGCCACGCTTTCTTCTCGTCGGTGAGCGTTTGCGCTTCGACGATGCCCATCAAGGCACATAGACCTCGGACCGCAGCGTCCTAACTTCCTGGGTGTCGGCGCGTCTCTGGTCCGCCGCCATCTGTGCTGGGCCGCCTTCTGCCTCGCCACATTCGGGACTTTTCGGCCAGTTCGCGCTCCAGCTGCTGGGAGCCGCCGCAATCCCTACTCCTCTTCCTCCTCCTCCTCCTCCTCCTCCTCCTCCTCCTCCTCCTCCTCCTCCTAAACCGCGGGTCGGGACGGCCGCCTTTCGGCATGGCCGTTCCACGTGTGCGACAAGTCGTCCTCGACGCCCAGGTTCCGTGCATGGCACGTCCACGCCCCAGACGCTCGTGACGAGGCTGAGGCAGCCCGACTGTCGAGGCTGCCTCGCAATGGCGACGCTTGCTCATCTAGTGAGCCTGGCGTTGCCGCTCTGCTGCAGACGCGCTTGGGGGATCGTGGCCCTTCACTCCGTAGGCTCGTCCAATCTGCACTCGTGTAGTGCTGCGCTGCGCCCGATGGGCCGAAATGGGGCGTCAGAGATTCCGAACATATTCACGCCCATTTTGCCGCCGAATTTCGGCCACGCTCACAGGACATGTATGTCCCGGCCTCGTGGCCGATAAGAGTGGTAACCACAATTCTTCACGTGCGGGCCCTGCGCAGCTTCATCTCTACTAAGCTGAGGGGCCTCAGTGGCCAGCAACACCGTTCCCATGACGGCCTGGGCCACAGTGGCTACGGACGGTGGCGCTGATGGGAGGGAGGCGAAGCAGCCGCAGCAGCGGGAGGGGGAGAAGAGGCAGCAGCAGGAAGGAGAGGACAAGCAGCAGCAGCAGCAGCAGCAGCAGCAGCAGCAGCAGCAGCAGCAGCAGCACCAGCAGCAGCAGGACGAGGACGACCATGGATCACTACGACAACAAGGCAGCATGAGGATGATGCAGGGTGGCGCGTCCATTGTTCGTCCCATGCACCCACCACAATACGTAGCTCCCCGCAGTTGCGGATAAGAATGAGGGGGCGGCGGGGACGTCAGCAGTCTGTGAGGCTCTGGAGAAAGAAGGCCGCAGGCGCATAATTTTTCAAGCTCTACAACGAGCCCGCCGCAGACGCCGGTTTTTTGTTAAAGCAATGTGGGTGGGTCACGGGTTGGGTCGCGGGCGGGTCGCGGGGTGGGCCGCGGGTGGGTCGCGGGGCGGGTCGAGGGGTGGGTCGCGGGTGGGTCGCAGGTGGGTCGCGGGTGGGTCGCGGGTGGGTCGCGGTCGCGGGTGGGTCGCGGGTGGGTCGCGGGGTGGGTCGCAGGGTGTGTCGCGGTGGGTCGCGGGTGGGCGGGGTGGGTCGCGTGTGGGTCGCGGGTGGGGTCGCGGGTGGGTGGGTCGCGGGTGGGTCGCAGGCGGGTCGAGGGGTGGGTCGCGGGTGGGTCGCCGGGTGGGTCGCGGGGTGGGTCGCGTGTGGGTCGCGGGGTGGGTCGCGGGTGGGTGGGTCGCGGGTGGGTCGCAGGCGGGTCGAGGGGTGGGTCGCGGGTGGGTCGCCGGGTGGGTCGCTGGGTGGGTCGCAAGGTGTGTCGCGTGTGGGTCGCGGGGGGGGGCGGGGACGACGCCAAACAACAACAACGATAACAGCACCAACATCAACAACAACAATGACGTCAACAACAACAACAACAACAACAACAACAACAACAACAACAATCATTTTACCCGAACGCTCAGTGTTCTCACCAGTGCCAGGGTTTTCATGCGACGCGAGACAATACCCCCACTTCGTGGGGGGGCAGTTCAAGCTCTACCAAATATCCAAACGACTCTTCGCGACCACCCAAACCCAGCTTCCCGCCCTATGACGTTGGGACACTTCACTTCGTGGCGTGCGGACGACCGTGGCTACTACACTGGCGTGGGGTACACACCCACAGAACTTGGTCACTTATTCGGGGCGCGCGTGTGCCCAGCATCCTGCAATTGTGACATACAATACATGACACAGACAGACAGAGAGAGAGACAGAGAGCAGACAGAGAGAGAGACAGAGAGAGCGGAGTTGGTCACATTTTTGGGGCAAGTTCCTAAGATCGTCGTGTTTTTTGTTGGTCTTGCGCGCGCGAATGTCCACTTTACTTTTTTTTGCAAGGGAGTATTGAAATTTGATTATGTTAGAACAAGAAAAAGTAGCTCGCGCGAGCTCATGTAACAGAAATGTTGAAAAACCATTGGTTTTGTGGGAGTCGGACAGCGCGCGCGGGATGAAATTTGGACATTTTTTTTTGAAAAACCATTGGGTTTTTGATGTTTTTATGTTGAAATCGTTACGAAACCTAAGGTTCTGGAAGGATTTCGTCTTGCGCGCGCGAATGTCCACTTTACCTTATTTTTTGCAAGGGATTCTTGAAATTTGATTACATTTGAACAAGAAATTTCATTTTATAGTGTTTTTTGCAAGGGAAAGCGGGGGGGAACAAAAAACCGGATCGGGTGACAATCCACTTTTCTGAAGCTTTCGCAGAAAAATGATGAAAATGTAGCTGCGGCCTAGGTTTTGGAGGGGGGTCGTGCACCAGGGGTCCCAACAATAATTATTCTTTAGAAGTAATAATGTTCAACAACAACAAACACACAACAACAACAACAACAACAACAATCACTTTACCCGAACGCTCAGTGTTCTCACCAGTGCCAGGGTTTTCATGCGACGCCAGCCAATACCCCCACTTTGTGGGGGGGCAGTGCAAGCTCTACCAAATATCCACACGACTCTTCGCCACCACCCACACCCAGCTTCCCGCCCTATGACGTTCGGACACTTCACTTCGTGGCCTGCGGACGACCGTGGCTACTACACTGGCGTGGAGTACACACCCACAGAAGTTGTTAAGCCTACGTTCGTACACCCACAGAAGTTGTTAAGCCTTGTTAAGCCACAGCGCACGTTCGGCGTGCGCGCGCGAAGAAAAAACGAATGTGTCCCGCATGGTATTATTTGACAGGGATGATGGCCCTGGCAGGTGCGCAACCGTTGTCGCAGAAGTTCGAAAAAGTTGCTCGCAAAAGCCCGTTTGACAGAAATGTTTAAAAAGTGTTGGGTTTCCTACGAATCCGCAAGAGCGCGCGGGATGAGATTTTGACAATTTTTTGTTGAAAAACCATTGGTTTTTTGATGTTTTTATGTTAAAATCGCTGCGAACACTAAGCTTTTGGAAGGATTTCGTCTTGCGCGCGCGAATGTCCACTTTACCTTATTTTTTGCAAGGGATTCTTGAAATTTGATTATATTAGAACAAGAAATGTCATTTTATAGTGTTTTTTGCAAGGGAAAACGGATTACAACAAAACAACCGGATCTGGACCCCATCCACTTTTCTGAAGCTTTCGCGAAAAAATGATGAAAATGTAGCTGCGGCCTAGGCGCGGCGGGGGGGCCGTGCACCAGGGGTCCCAACAATAATTATTCTTTAGAATAAATAATGGACAACAACAACAACAGCAACAACAACAACAACAACAACAACAACACCAACAACAACAACAACAACAACAACAACATCAGCAACAACAACAACAGCAACAACAACAACAACGTCGTCGACTTTGACGACGACAACAACAAGAATCCGCATCGCGGAATCCAACTTCAGCCACGCACCCAGGGACAGTGAATGACCGTTCGGCCCTCTCACTCTGATAAGCACATGCGCATACACATACCTAGAGCATGTGTGTGCGTATATGCCTGTATACGTTCTCCAAAAATTGTGTGCACTTACGGGTGCTTGCCTTGCGTTTCTAAGGAATTGAACAGATGGCCCACAGACTCGCCATGTTCCAGCCCGTTCCCGCCCATTGCCGCCTGTGGGGGCATCCTGGGGATTTCACCACGCTCTGGCCCGTCGCCGCCCGTTGCCGCCTGTGAGGGTGTCCCGAAGACTCGCCACGAGGAGAAGGAGGAGGAGGGGGAGGAGGAGGAGGAGGAGGAGATTCCGTAGCCATTTTGGCTCAAGCCGGTCCCATTGCGCGCTCTCTCGTTTTGGGCCCCGCGGGTGGCCGCAGAGATCGACTGCTTGGGGGATGGCTGCGGGCGGCGGCCGAGCTGCCTGTACGGCAGCCGAGCCGCCTCAGCACGGCGGGGCTGCGGCTTCGCTCTGGCCTGCGCGACGTGCCCGACGGGCCGCTGCGCGTGAGGCCGACCAGGGCAAGCTGCGGGCGGCGCTGGGGCGCGTCGCAGTCCTCGAGGCGGAACTCGCGGCTCTGCAGGTCGCCCACGAGGCGGCGGCGGCCCAGGCGCTGGCGCTGGCGGCCCAAGGCTCAGCCCAGCTTCCTAGCGAGGCGCTCCACCGCGAGATCTCCGAGAGGCTGGCGCTGGCGGTCCCCGTCCTCCTGGAGGTGCTGGCAGGCCCGCAGCGTGCGGGGGCCGACACCTCTTCGGCCCCTCGGCCGCCTCCTGGGCCCTTGCGGCTTGCGGGAGCGGGCGGAGGAGAGCAGGGGAGCGGGCAGGCAGCGGCGGCCGCCAGCGCTCACCGAGTTGACGACGCCCAGAGCATGCCCCTCAGCGGCGTGCCACAGGGTGCAGGCGACGGTGCTGGCACGGTCGCGGACGAGCCTACCCAGGCTCAGGCAGGCGAACGGTGGGGCAGCGGCAGCCGCACGGCGGCTGGTGTGGGTCCGCTGCACCGTTCTCGGCGCAACGCTGGGCTCCACTGCGCAGCAAGGAGGGCCGCTAGCATTTCGGTGATGCGGCAGTCCTCCCTCAATCGCCTGCAGAGGTCTGCGAAGGCGGGGCGGGTACACCTCGGAGGGCAAGCTCGGCATGGTCGCGGCCGCGGCGCTGGTGTTCGAGCACGGGCTGCTCTTCCTCTACCTCGCTCTGATGGTGCAGCCTCCCATGTGCGGCAGCGGTCGGAGGCGCGGCGCCCCCCTCTTCGAGGCGGCGCGCTTGCCCCGCCGCGCCGCCAGCCAGAGGCGCGTGCCGCCTGCGAGGCGGCCCCGAGCGATTGGACGGTCGCTCGGGCCTACCGCGGGCGCAGCGCGCCGCCTGGCGCCATCTTCGCGCTGGCCGAGCGCGCGAGGCGGGCTCCCGAGGCGAGGCCGCTGCCCTTGGCCTCGGGCCCGCGCTGGTGGAAGTGGAGCGTCGAGGACAGCGACGTAGTCGGCGTCTGCGGCGCCTCGCACGGCGCCCACTTCGACAGCAAGGAGGCGCAGAAGGCTCCCGTGGCGGCGGCGCCCATGGGGCTCGACAAGCACAGGCAGGTGGTGTCGGTAGTGCACGCATCGGACGACGGCTTGCTCGGCCTCGGCGGCGGCGGCGGCGACGGCAGCGCGGCGCGCAGCCCTAGCAGCGGCGGCTTCGGCGAGCACCCTGCCCATCGGCCTTCTGAAGGTGGTGCTGTTCATCCTCATCGCCTCCCTGATCCTGGTGCGGCGTGCAGCACTGCCTGCACCTCCTCTCCTGCTGCCTTCGCGGACCCCTCGATCGTCACGGCGTACTTGCTGGCCAACGAGGCTGCCGTCCTCAGCGGAGGCAGCGAGATGGCCGCTGGCGACATCGACGGCGAGCTCAGCATGCAGGTGGACGGCTCCCGCAACCAGGACGGAAACGGTGCTCTGGCCTCGGATGCCGTGGCGCACAGCGGCTTCGACCTCTCCCCGCACCTCGGCACGGACGACGGCGTGGAGGCGGCTGGGCCCCAGCGCAACGGCGGCAGGAGCCTGGGCGACGACGCCCTCCTCACTTCGCCTCCCTCGGGTTCCTGCTCCTGCTCTGGCGGCGTGGGGATCGATGTGGAGGACGGCGAGGGCGGCGTCGGTGGCGGCTGTGCGCTCCACCACGGCTCGGAGACGGTGGCGCGCCAGGAGCCCGCGCGTGGGCCCAAGCGGCTCTTGGCGCTGCGCCGCCACGTCTTCGAGGGAACCGTGGCCCTCACGGTCGACCGTGACATTCGGAGGCCGGGCTGGCAGGGCGACGGCGGCGACGACGCTCCTCCAGCTCCCTCAGCCTCCGAGCTAGAAGCTGGGCGCCGCTGGCTCCGCGACACGTTCGGGCCTGGCTCCCCGTGGAGGGCGTGGGCCAGGCAGGAGCGGCAGCGGAGGCGTGAGGCGCAGCTCCAGCAGTAGGCGGCGTACACCGCTTTCTCTTTGCGAGCGTGGAGCCCCCAGAGGGGTGGGAACGGGCACCCGCCCCGCCTGCCCCAGGGTGGCTGTTTCGCCCAGGGCTCGAGGGAGCCCTGGGCCCTTTCGGCTTTGCCAGCGCTGCTGAAGCTCAGGAGCGAGGCCGGGCCGCCAGAGCGGCCTGGTTGGTGGACCCCAGGCCTGAAGTCGGCCTCAGCGCGGTGTGATGGTGCCGCGCTTCGGGGTCTGGTCCTGGCGGGCTGCGGGCTCGCGCGAGCACTGTTTGCGGGGCCGTAAGACGGCATCTGAATTGTCTGTTTTAGCCAAGAGCGTTCTGAGGCGTGCAGGTTATCGCCTGCTCCCAGAGCCCTAATCCTTGTCAATGGCTACCCGCGCATGGCGCGGAGTGTGTCCGATGGGCGCGGCTAATGGCGGTTGCAAGGTGCGCCCCTAGCCGCGTTCGAGGTCCTGCTGAGGCACCATAGACTCTGTGGCGCCCCAGGCTGTGCCCAGGAGGAGGAGGAGGAGGAGGAGGGGGAGGAGGAGGAGGAGGAGGGGGAGGAGGAGGAGGAGGAGGAGGAGGGGGAGGAGGGGGAGGAGGAGGATTCAAGCCGTGCCTTTCGTACGCGGAGGGGCCCGTCCGCGGCGCGCGCGCCGCCGCACCATCGGGCCCCCGCAGAGGGGGGTGCGGCTCAGCGCGGCCAGGAGGCCCGCGCGGCGGGGACGCCGCCTGCTGCAAGGGGAGACGCCCAAGCGGCAGAGGCGTTCGCCAGCTCGCCACCGCCGTGAACGGCGAGCACGTGCTGCGGCCAGGCTTCTTCCACGTCTGGATCGAGCGCGTCGACTTCCCAAGGGACACCACGCTGGCAGTCATCATCGTGCTGCGCGACCAGGTCGACCAGAAGGTCCAGGGATGACATCTCGAGCACAGAAGTGGACGTGTAACCAGTGCAGCCATGCCAATGCTGCAGGCGAGTACTACTGTAAGGGGCAGGGTTGCCAAAATACTTGGGGGAGACAGCAGGCGGCTGTCATGGAGAACAAACGCCGTGAGAAGGAAAGCATGCAGATGAAGGAGGACGTGCGCAAATTGATCGACGCGACCATGCTGCCCACTGAGGAGCATGCGGTCCGACACCCCACTTTTCGTGAACCGCCAGGAGGTGGTCCAGCTAAGAGAGCTTATCGCCAGGACGTAAAGACCCGCATGACGAAGCTGGCCCAGCTCATCATTCAGGAGATTTCAGTATTAAAATGGATGGCCTGGCGCGCAATGCCGACGGAGATTCAAAGAAAGGAATGCAAGGCCAACATCGCACTCCATGAAGAACGAAGTGTTGCTATTTTGAAGAAGGTTGATGAATGTAATATCGATATGGTCTATGAAGAGTCAATGCTACATTACTATCAGGACCTTCTGAAGGATGCTACAACAGCGGAGAATATGTCTGCGGCGGCGGCGGAGATCTCCTCCGATAGCGGTGATCAGGGGTATGATCGACGCAAGGTCCTGGTGCGACACAAGGCAGGGGCAGCAACGGCGCCTGCTACATCTCCATCACCACCGCCACCCCCTCCTCCTCCGCCGCCGCCGCCACCAGAGAGACCGCCACGATTACCACCAGGCGCTCCTATTGTTGATGGAAGGCACTTGAGATGTGCAACATCTTTGGATCAACCATCTGTTGAGGGACCAGGTGTTGTGGCGCAGCCAGGCCGGCAAAACCGAGCAAGTCAGGCACGCGCTGCAGCCGTCACATTGCAGAATGCACCATCAGCAGTCAAAGCAGCACCACCGATACCAGTACCCAAGCCAATCATCTTGTCTACGCCAGCGCCCAAGTACCAGGTCAAGATCGAGCACTGCGTTCCAGCGGCAGTGGGTAAAGCATCGGTGGTTCCAGCTAACATTAGGGATGTCAAGGAGGAACATGGAGTTAAACAGGTATTACCCACTCAACAACAGGTTGGTATTACATCGAGAGAAGAACAATTTCGTGCAGTCATGATGAAAGCTGAACACAAGTTACGGCATTTAGAGGTTGAGGCTCGTCAAGCCAATGAAGACCGTGACGCTCGCACGGCACACCTACTCCGTGAAGCTCAGACTGAACGCGACCGAGTTGAGCATAGCATGCAGACCAAGGTTGAAGCCACGCTGCAGAGGGTTGCCTATCAGGAGCAGCAGCAGCGGAACTACTTTGAGCAGCGGCTTCAAGCGCAGCAGCAGGAATCAATTCAGAGACGCCAAGCACATCATCAGCTTGAGCATCTTATGTCACAACAGCAGCTCGAATCAGTTCAGACCCGCCAAGCACAAGTACATTTTGAGGCATGTCTGATTTCCCAGCAGAAGCAGGTGCAGTGGAGTATAAGCAAAAAGAAGCCCTTGCATCGGAAGCAGCTAAGTTCGAGCAGAGCATGTGCGAGGCCAACACCCGGCAGATGATGAACATGGCTCAGCTACGCACGCGCATCACCAACGAGTACAACGAGCAGTGGACAAAAAAACACAGAGGGATCGTGATCGCCAGGACGAGGAGAGCACAAGATGCTTGTTGGAGGCTCAGGCCCGTGCAAAACGTTATGAAGAGCAGGCCGAATCATTGGCGCACTCATCTTCGAAGATGGGCCACTGGGTTTGCCCACTTTGTGAACGGGCCAACCCGACGGCTATCATGACATGTAGAGCCTGTGGCCTGGGCAAGTTTGACGAACCTCCAGCTACCTTCCCATCTCCTACGGCACCGACACCAACAAGTACACCTCAAGGTCTCCAGCCATACGGCCCCCCAAAGGGCCCGTCCGAGTTCACGGCCACGGCAGTCCGCATCGTCGCCAGCACCATCATCGGCTGCAGCGCCATAGTTCAACATGTCCAAGGGCCAGCTTGCGCCTGAAATCAACAGCGAGAAGCTGGAGGACCGTGAAGCACAGCTCGCCAGGGATGCCGCCCAGTGCGAGACCGAGCTCATAGACTGGAAGCTGCAAAGGATCTCACAAGGACTTACTACACCATCGACTGGTTCAACAGAGAGAAGGGTTGAAGAATTCCTAGCGCCTGAGGAGGCTGCACGCCGTGACCAACCTTCTGAACCGAAACGCACACCAGTATTGGGTACAGCGACGCCCCAGCAATTTCAGATGGATCAAGATGGTGGGCCGCCTGCAGTTCATCGACACCACGCGCTACCTACAACGTACTGTACTTGGCTATGTGTTCTGCGGTCAGCCTCAGGAAGAACACGATACGCCCTGCACATGCTGTGGTGGAGCTTGGCCTGTCTTTCCTGACGAAGAAGGTGCCATTCTGGAATCCTCTTTTGTACACCAAAGCTGTTTAAGTTCAGTCAATGAGGAGGAGGGCCCTGCGACTTCCGACCCGTACGATGCCATCCCTGCCATGAACGCTGCGCAGGAATACGAGCAAGGGCAAACATCATATCTGGTGTGCCTTTAGCGAGGGGCACAGGCGGAGCTTGACCAGCTAGCTGCAGAGGACCAGCGGGAACTAGCAGAGCTTGAACTTCAGCAGTCAGAAGCGGCCGCAGCTTTTCGTGAAGAGAGTGCCAAAATCATTGCAGACCTTGGTGGCAGCGATGTAAAGGTTGATCAGCCAGTCTCAGATGGTGAAGGTTCTCTTCCACCAACTGAAGTTGCAGAAAGCCCCCCAGCAGAGTGCAGCGGACGTCGTCAATGAGATCAATGAATCACCACAGGTTTCCCGTGCCTCTGAACCACGCCACTACGACGCAGCTGACTCGGTTGGCGAGGATACGGACCGTAGTTTTCCGCGTGAGACACCACCACGCAAGACTACAAGGATTCAAGATATGCCCACCGACATGGACGCGAACCAGGCATCATCATCACGCACGCTACTTTCCAGAGGGGCGGTGGCTACTGCTACGGGGGAATGGCCGACGCCACTACCCACGCCACCGCGAGCGGACGATCACGGTGCAACCCCAGACGGGGCACAACCTTGACCGTAGCCTTGGGGGTGTTGTGCGATGCGGTGGCGCCGACACCCCTACCATGCCCCTTTCCACCCGAATATAATCGCCCCACGAGCTCTCGGCGCCATCGCAGCGGCGCCGTGGATGACGCACCCTCCTCAAATGTACAGGAGGTCCGCGTTAGTCCAGCTCATCGAATTCAGCGGGATCGCGCCATGCATGATTGTCACCGAGTCCTTCCTGGCGGGGTAGGTGTCTTTCGCGATATTGCTACTTCTCATGATGTGCGCACTCATTGCCATGCGGACACGCCATCAATACCCAGGCCAGTACGACAATTACCTAGTGCTTCACCTTACAGTACATCTTCGGCTGCATACATATCCGTGCAACTGCTAAGTGGCTTGGACGAATGCATCAATATGCAGGTCCCGATGTCTCTTCCCGCACATTATCTTGGGCAGCGACATCATATCTGACTTCGGCGTGACCTCGCCAACTTCGATATACATTCCCACGCGAAGCTGGCCCCTGGTCTTACTACGCCTCACACATCGAAAGTCAATGGCGCTACGACCTACACAGACGGATCGCCCATGGAGTCGGAACCGGCCAACTCGGCGCTGGCTCTGTGCGTTTTACCTGTGAGTGATGATGTCGATCGATACGTCGGCTCTCTGGGTAAAGGTCTGACATCGCGTGTGGCATTCGAAGTCGCCAATCTCAGCATGGTGATTGCTGAGACAGCTGGCTCGTTGTGGGCCTTTCGGCGCAGCCTGCAGCTCCCGAGCAACGTAGACGATGTAATTTTGAGTGATTGTGAGCCTTCGACTGCGCGGGTTACCATTGGCGCCGCGCGGAGAGAGCTTTTTGCTACTCTTGCATCATGCGTGTACGG